CATTAGTCGTAAGTCATGGAATGTTGTACTGTGAACTGTGAAACTTTGTATAGTCAGTAATCCTTTGAAGTGAATGTAAGATTGATGTCCGGCAAACATTTGAACTCGTATAGCAGCTGTTGAGCGGAATGTTTGCTCACCATCTCCCGCATGCCGGTGGGAGATCAGGTAAATGTGTGTGATGGCCACTCGATAACCGATCCATTAACGGTAACCGTCCTGAAAGATAAAATGTCACACGTGCCAGTATAAGTGTAGGTACTTACTTGTAAGGCACTTAAAAGGTAATATGTATGTATTTACTTTGAGATAAAATTCTCCAAGATACTCCGCATTCAATTTCGATAACGTTATGTTAAGATAGAAAACCTGACAAAAATCAATTATAAAGTACTTAATACTTAAATAAATACTTATTGTCTTCGTCATAAAATAGAGGTGTAGCAAAATGTCGATGTCAAAGATTGCGACATGAATGACCTTCACCCCTATTCCGTGACTGACCCTTTAGTAATGAAGAGTGGACAGACGTCAGCCTCCATTATTTATTCAACTAAAATTTTATATAGAATCGATCTTTGAATTCTTTAAGACACAATATGCCCTGAAGTTTCGTAAGTAGACAGAAAACTTTCCTCTTATATTTGTTGGAAACTCATTACCTGTTTTCGACATGTTCTTACTCGGCTTGTGTCATTATAATAGCATCCTTATGAAGAGTTTCAAAGAGACACATCATGCAATGTCACAAAACAGCTAAACGTACTAAGATGTCAATGAATAGGTGTAATTAACTTGTAACAAATCTTGCTAAACATTTCTGTAATTATTTCTTTAAAGGACATGATGCATGAAGTTGTAAGTAAAGGTTTTGCGCCCAGCTTTGTTGTCAAAACCATCTCGTTTATCAATAGCTCGCTTATTATTATTGATGAATAGGTTCTACTAAACAAATAAACTCATCGCTAAATTTCAAAAGGATAAAGAATTTAGGAGCAGTAAAGGCTTATTAACATTTAAGTGAGTTAGGGTATCCGTTACCTTTTGTAGTTAGGCTAAACCTAAACTGTCACATATTGCGGCCATCCGCATTTCAGTTCATTGTTGAATAATTGAACTACCAACTATTCTGTTTGAGCCTCGAGCCGTGGATTTCGCGTTGCACGCACACGCTCATACGTCATTCGATCTATTGTGGTTGGCTTTATTTTCTTTTTTTAGGATACTCGATGTCAACCATACATGTAAGCTAGCTATAACTAATGTAGTGCGGTAGGATATAATTGCCGCACCTACATATTTGATTAAGCAATCAGCCCTAAACACTTATAAAAGGTTTGCCAGAAACAATCAGACGAATTCGCGACTGATACTACTGCTTTTGATAGCACGCCTAAATGATATAAATGATAGCACAGTGAACTTATTTGCGTACACCTGCCTAATGTGCAGCACCAAAATTATCCTATTTGGTTTATTCATAAAATTTTGTAAATGTTATGGTAGGTTAGTTCTTTAGATAAAACGAAACACAATTTTTTACCTTTTGTAATTGTACTACATATTATGTTTGACCTATTTTAGTACTAGAAGATTGTAAATTGTATAGTAATTGGTAATTCAGTGGAAGTCACTTTTCCATTACATTTAAGTATGCTAAAGAAAGTAACGGCAGACGTCCCCTGTGTAATCGAGACAATTGAAAGTCAGTCACAGTGTAGCATGATGATGTCGATGAGTCATCTGCACTTCGTATATTTCACCCTAACGTGGGAATTGGGCCCGCTAATCGGTGTATTATCACTTTTCCTGATTATAACCCTCATAACGTTCAGTATCGCTTACAGCAAATAGCGATAACCCATATTTCGCATAATACATAGCTAGCAATTTCAGAATTAGCAGAAACCTGATAACGTAGCTATGTAATATAATTCCAAAGAAATAATTTCAATAGAAATCGAGGGATACCTTTAAAAAAATGAAATGAGATTCCATTCCCAAAACTAATATTAAAATGAAATACAAAACTTCGGTCGGGTCTGAATAGGGCCGGGAGGGAATACGCAGGTTGTATACAAATACTGGTAGGTATGACACATGTCGGTGGCCATAAAGCTGTTTACACAAGTACAGACGTTATCTGGGCATTGTGCGATGATGCGACCCTGACTTAGATAGTTGTCATAGTTGTAGCCTGTTGTAGTGTGGCTACTGGTTATGCTGAGTTCGCTACGCATTGTATCGATCACACACGACTATCTATACACAACGCTCGAACTGTAACACGAATAGATTAGGGTTAATTTTGTTATATTAAAGGCAACATAGGCAATAAGTATTTAATGCTCTGAATTTAGACGGATACATATGTTTGTATAATACATATGTAGGTACATTGGCTGATTGCATTTTCGAAATCCGCATCTATTATGGCAAATTTCCGTACGTAGGTATGCTCACGAAAACCGCGCTTGTGATTGTCGGTTGCAAGCAGGGAAATTGGAGTTCAAGTTTTGACGTACCTATAGATATAATACAAAATGATTAAGTGTAAAGTAGGTGCGTATGAAGGAATTGGGTAGGGAGGTCTATGCCTTGCTGTCGAGCGAACTAAAGATAAATGAAGCCATGTAATAACATGGCTACAATTTAAAAAAATACTTCTTATTAGAAGTCTTTTTTTAAACTACCCTGTAATTTGTCAATCGATTTTTGTTACAGATTACTAGATTAAAGGAATTCAGAGAACTGCTGTCGATTCAGTCACGAAAAAATCACATACGCTATCCTAGATTACTCCAATCTATTTGATATTTACAGATACATGCTCCCAGTGAAACCAAGTCTACGAGAAAATCTAAAAGAAAAACCTGATCGGATTTTCAATCCATTACAATCTATTGAATAGTTTATATATACTTATTTCTCGATATAAACAACGAACGAGTACAATGTTTAAAATTCAATACTCCGCATCGGGAGCGATGTTCTCAATAGCAAACCTTTTATTTTGTAATAAAGGATGTCGCATTTAAATCAAAATAGGGTAATAATTGACACAAACAACGAAATATGCGTCATGGTAATTTTAGTGCTCCTCGCTGCGTTTTAAAATGAAACCGTAACAAAATCTTGTTTTTAATTATCAGTTAATTTGGTACAAAAGAATTGATGAATGGTTGAAAACTTCCGGTGTGATCAACTGCGCAATGGCAAGGCCGTTGTGACAATGTGCGGATGTGCAGGCGTCGTCAACTCAACTAACAAAACGGGACAAAGGCTAACTAAAAAAATATCATCACCTGCTCAAATATTTCAACTATGATACGCAAACGTTCACTTCAATGGCATAAAAGTCGCAACTTAAAAATACTAACCATAAAGTTCATTTTATTTAAGACTGTTTCTTTCTGTCTTTCTTCAAAAAGGATTCCGTATTGAGAAATCAAAGAAAATGAAACGTAGAACAGTTAACTGCCTTGTGCAACATTTGAAGAGTCATCAAGAGAAATGGGTTAAATAATGGCGCTTACTGTTGACGACTTTACAACCTGACGTGTCGTAAACGATGTTTAAACGGTTTTACACCATTCTACTTGAAAAACATTGTAACGGTGACTGCCTGCGAGCTGGGATTATGGCAGATAAGGCACTGATACGCGTTAGGTATAAAAATCAATACACGTATGCTTGTACAAGTAAACAAATCAATGGACAAATCATGTGACTGAGGATAATGAAAACATTGCGTTGTTAGGGGCAACAGACTAGTTCCTTTATGTGCGTGTAATAATATAGGTACGTGTTAACTATATATATTTTATAATGCCTAGTATTTAAGTTCAAGAGTCTCATGTCCTCAAGGAAGCCTTAGGATAGCCAAATTACAACATATTTTCATGTAGTTAATGCTCTGGCTAAATGGAGTTTACCAACTCATTTGAGCCAGTTTTTTTCCGGCATGTGATTATCCAGTTCAGGAACAATTCGCTGTCGCTGTCTCAGGTCCCATCGATTGTTTCTTGGGAGACATAAACACTAAATGAATGTTTTGTTTCTCTTGGCGACCCTATAGTTTTGGCAACTTACTGTTGCAGACATGTTTTTCTACCATTCCATTGAATGTAGAATCAATGTTATTAATATAATTTTCGAGACCTCCAACTGATTAATGCAACGTAAATAATATGAGCTATTAATTATTCCAGCGTAATGCATAATGTTCCACACGGGTGGTCTTTCCATCACATAAACATTTAAACGTTGAAGCGATAAACTTATGAAGTTTAATAACATTCCGTTTTTCATTGATGAGTTTTAATAGTTGGTGCATGCTGAACATACTAGACTACTATCTGCTAGTAATTTATTATCTCTCGTCTGTCAGAAAGTCCAGTTTAGTTAAAGATCGGTGTTCCAGTCTGTTTGCCTGCATTCCGCAGAGCGCTGGCCTCGTTTGCTTCGCCATCGGAACCGAATCATTCGGATGTCTGCCTACATTTCGACCGCATTCAATCTGAACTTCTATTTTTTGCGCCAAGCTCTCTTCCACAGTATTTAATAAAAAGTTGTTTGACTCGAACTCGGCTTGTCCATATTTTTCATTTTTAAAACAAGAAATATGGCTTCCTCTCGTTCATCGTATCGGGCTTTACTGTAAATATTTTGACAATACTCGGTGGTTTTGATGAACGCTGGGACCTACATTCGTCTAAAAATTGTACAAGAATTGTAAGGGAAATAGTACGAGTCGGTGGTTGCTTAACATTATTTAAAGTCAAGATATCAAGTTGTAAAATTCCCATAGATTTAAAATGATAGGTTAAATGTAATCACGAAACGGCACATTTCATGATAAAGGTGACAGACTTGCTTAGTTACGGCATAGTCTATATGATGTGCCCATACTACTATCAGATAAAGAAATCATCTCGGTCAGATCTCAAGTTTATCTTATTGATTGTATTGAGAAGTGATCAAACGATCTGCGGATGCCATATCGGCCCGTCAGTTTCAGTTGAGCGCTCGCATTATACTGTGTGATCGTGTAGCGCTCCGTGCACCTTATTGCTTCGTGACAAAGCCACGAGTGCGTAAGTCAAATGTAGGTAACAAAGGTCGTATGTCAAAGGGTGATGTGATGTCAGAGCGTGACAACACTAGTATCAGTGTAGCCGCGGGGGGCGCGTGCTGTCGCATTCGTCGGAGGATGCAGTGCTTCGGATTCCAAGGTAATGCCATTTATTAATTACGAGCAGACACACGCGACTAACGCACGACTCTTTGCTATGTCTCAATGACGCTTGTCATTGAAAACGACGCCACGTTCGATAAATTTTCATTAAAGAAAAACACAACTACGCAGTCAATTTAATTTTGAACGTTCACGATTGACGATTGCCGATGCGTAAAATCGATTTGCCGCTTAGTTTTTCGACTCGATGACGTTAGGTACAGCATTCAACTCGCTAGTGATTGAAGAGATCTTCAGATGAACGTTGATAGTCAGAAGGCGGGAAGCGCACAAGCCTGCGCACGCGCATACGGATGTGTCGCATTGTGTTTCGCGTGTGGATTGCACAGATGCGACTGAGTTTCTTTTTCATCAAGACTGAGAAAATAGGCAAGTGCTTATGTGTTAGAAGTTTTTGTTAATGTTTTTGCTGTGTGCGAAGTGAACGTCACGAATCGTATGAGTGTATGTACCTACACGTGTGCGGTTCATATCAAGTGGATAATTTATGTGTAGATTGTGTTCGCGACTCGCTTAAAAATTGTAACAAAGTATTTCAACGATGCTTTTTTCATGGCTACAAGAAATTGTATCAAAATTATTGTGTGCCTGGCCTTATGAAGTGGTCTTGCGAAGAATTTTAGGAATTTGATCCCGGAATCTTGTTGATATACATACTATACAATGTATGTACATTATGTGTATGAACATGTTTATTCGTAGGCTAGGAACGTTAGGAAACAATATAGTTATCTATTTACCTAAGAAATAATAGATTAGGTAGGTTAAGTATTAAAAATCTAAGACAGTTATACTTGGTTCCTATACCTATGTGTATTGTGTATAGATTATAAATATAATTAAAATGTATGTAAATGAATAATTGATGAACAAAATAGTTTATTAAGGTAAACAAATAACAATGAACATTGATTTATTGAACTTATGCGATAAACATAATTTGTTTTGTAGTGTTACACAAAAACAGAACATATTATTATTACCAAACGATAGCATAATTATCTGACGTGAACTATTTAGATTTAGTGTAGGTGTATTAAAATATTTCAATTAATTACTGACAATGGCATTAAGTGCAGCATTCCCAAACGCTACTTAAATACGTTGTTGTCTTATTTTAGTCGTGCTAATTACTTACCATCAGGTATGGATTTTGTTCCTAACTCCTTAAAAAAACATTAAACATATTCAAGCAAAATGTCATAAGAACATTAAGAAATTTTGAATTATTTGTGATTTTCTAACACATTCGTATTTTTGTTATCATTGTTCATGTTATTCCAGACTATAATCTATCTCTGTGGCAATGGCTTTCCAAAAACTAATCAATACCTAGTTTTTACAAAGACTACGACTACGACGCGAAAAACATTCATCCACCTATACTCACAAACCTTCGTGTCTATAATATGTATTATAAATATGTATAATTTTTTACTTCATGTATTAGTAGGATTACTTATTGTAGGTATGTACTATGTAGGTAACATAACACTTATTACAGTACAAATGACATAGCTACTAGGTAAATAAAAACCATTTCCTTATAATTGACGAATGGCAGTTTCGTTTTCTTTTCTCTGTATGTTTTTTAAAGTGGCTACAAGTTTAAATTCTTAACGATGAATTAATCTCTGATTATGATTGTCCTTAAATATCCTATCTAGCTAGTAATATAAGTGAGAGCCATACACATACATGTTTAAAAGACTCCTCGGTTAGCGCGGTGGCTAAGCAACTGGATTCCGTGCAACGTGGGACGGGTTCGATTTCGGCACGGAATAACTTTTTGTGTAATCCACAAATTAATGATCCGATTGAACGCACCCACGACACAGGAGAAAATCCTAGTATGTGGTAACGTTTTAAATAACTAAGCAACTTAAAAAAAAAAACAAAAAAAATTATAGGCTCCTTATTCTTCGTAATATAGTCTTTACGCAAAGTACCTATACTGCATTTATTCTTGTTGAGGCTTTGTAGGGCTTTGATCTTTCTTCTCTTATTTTTATGATTAATATCTACCTATATCTATTACATTTGACGAATTTCATTAACACATCTTTTTTTAAATTTGCACCGTTGTGTTGCAATGCTTGGTGCTCCGCATATCTTAATGCCACCACAAATCTTCTTCAGTCTACTAGCTAAGTACAAAAACGTTGACGTGCCTTGTCTATAGTACAGATGTATACTGTGCAGACACGCACATGATTACATCAGCCCGTTACAACTGATAATCCTACTGTATTGATAGCTCTCTGGAGATGAAATAACTTTATCCCGCCAGGGGGTCGAAAACGAAAATAGTTCTGTCGGTCCGTAATAAGAAGCTATCACACTGGGAAATGTTTTATTACCAATGATATAATGTAATAGTATCGAGGATTTTATGACAAACCGCGTACAGAGAAGATCTTTTTCGTTTAAATCACTTTTGTAAAATATGTGATAAGATTCACACCCCTTGTAGGAATCGTTGGCAGATAATGACATTACGTAATCAGAGAAGTCGGTCAGAAGTTCTAACATAGTCACAGAAACATCAGGATAACATAAGGGACTGCGTTGGGGTTGCACGCCGCATAGCAATGAGCTCGGAATGGCTGTTTAAGAGCCCTCCGGCCCGGGCCACAATACCGGCCATTGATACGATGCTGACGACGCAGCCTCCGGAATATCTGCTAACAGAATAAGCTGGGCTCAACAACTGCTCTTGAATATTGAATTAAGCAAACAAATGCTTATTTGAATAGTAAACGCTAACAGCTCCAATTACGACGTCAAAGATGTTCTTAGAAAATATATCTTTGCAATTATAATGAAGTTTATGCGAACTGTTTTTTGTCAGAAGAGGTGCAAAATGTTTGAAACATAATATAATCGCTGTGTATTGGCGTATTGGAGAAACATCAAACATCAATAGAAAATGATTAGAAATTATTTTATGTTTCCAAAAGTTCTTTCTCCTTGTTATGTATCTTTGATTGCAGTCAAATCAGGCTAATGATGAGCATCATTAAGGGTCATTAATGGCGGCACTGTCCAAGTAACGAGGACGTTGGTAATTGAGGACTCTAAAAAACTACTGACATCTTGAGGGCACTCATTATCTCGTCATTCGAGACTATCGATCCGGGACTAAGCCGTAGGTACCTACACGATCGAGTTTAATTACCCAAAGGATGTTCGCATATCCTTTGGAGATGTTATCTGCATCAAGAACAAAGGAGACTTAATACCCTTATAGTAAGCGAGGTCGTGGGAGTTTGTTCTGTAGCTCAAAACGTCGCTGTCGAAACAAACCTAAGTTTAGTCACAAAGACGTAAATGGCCGACAACAAAGATCAAAATGATGCATCAAAAAAGGAATATAAAGTACAACAAAGTGTAACAATAGCGTAACAAAGACAACTTAGGTAATTATCAAGTTTTCTAGTATGCTTTGTTTTACATTACCCATTTTAATGAGATGTGTGTATTTATTTATGTAGGTAGTGCCAGCTACGTAGTGGTAATCTAGTACGTCGAGGAGAGTAATGTACGGTTCTGTTCCTCAATTGTGTAACGTCGTGTCGCTTGTAATCTTCGGACAAATAAACTCATCATCTCTGTCATTTGTATGATCAAGAATACCGGTAACGATTGGAATTCCCTGTCCGTCATTATAACTGGGTGTACGTAACAATGTCGATGATTTGAATACCACGTACGGACCATTAGAGTGGATCACGTTGATGTTGCGGAAGCAATTCCGCCATGATGTCCGTTATATCAGGTATCAAGAACAGAAACACCGCAGAATATTTTTCTTGTACCCATATTTACATAGTATTAAACTGTCGACCGTCGTTTACATATCGTGAGCTCTCGTCAGCTTTTGGGCTCCTCTTTTCATATATTACATTCCTACTGAAGTGTATAAAGTATTTTACTGCGTGAGAAGGACTGACTCCGGAGAGACATAAAACAAAGGTGATAAGAAAATCGTGTAAAGAAGCAAAAGTAATAACTTTTACGGGTATTTAATGAGTATGTTTCGAATAAAAATACATAAACTAAGTTTCCTGTAGAGGCTAACCTTGTGGAAGATCACTTGAACTGTTATGTAACTAATGAGCCGTTATGTCTGCTGTAGCATTGTTGGGTCTACAATGCATGGTAAATAATACGCTGTCAACATTTAATGTTTTATTGTTTCCTCTGAGCATCTTACTTCTAGCTGTGGCTAGCTTGTTTTCTATATGTTTTTATTTACCTTTTTGTTTTGTATCAACTGTTGAGGTATGAAATCATCGGACGATTTCATCTGCTTGTTGTTAATTAGTCACAGAATAATCAATCTTTTATGATATGACTTTCATTTTCGCTGCGGTAAGAATGAGCACGATATCTCAACATATCGGTAACGTTTACCCACGTTTAACAAGTTTACGTTAGAATACTAAAACTTTATGTAAACAAATGTTATCTAACTTCGTTCTAGGTGATCGCTAGCGGTGATGTTACGCAGCTATTTGTGTAGAGATACAAAACATTATGAGTCTGTAAATCGTGAAAACGATTTCACGTGTTCGTTCACACCTAAAAAGGAGCCGTTCTATTTTATTCTTATGTTTTTCTTGTGTTGAGTGCATGTCTTAGCTTAGGTAATTGTATACTTCGTCTGTTTCTAGTAGGTACAGCCATGCTGCCAATGTTATTATCACACGATTACTCGATTAATGGTCTATAAAAACATGTAACTAGTCCTAATAATATGTATGCAAGACATACCTACATACGTTCTTGATAGTTAAATATGTGTAAATAATTAACTTTTCAAACCTAATATGATAAATTGAAAGAGGATGAATGGAATGACCGGCAGACAGAATTAAAGCAGATTCAATTGTCATTTGTTATACCTAAAAATTACTGTAACTTTAACTTTGTCTCTTATTTAAACACTTCCGCATTTATCTTGTTGAATTCACATAAAATAATTTTAAGTATAATCTTTTGTTTGAACTGTTTGCCAAGGCTTGGAATCAATTATACTGACCTTTGCGCGCGAGTCGTACGGTCGACGAACTCTATTTGAATAATGACCGTTGGCAATATTATGAATCGTCTACACCTTGTCTTGCCAGCCTTGCAAATCTTTTTTCTTTATGTTACGTGAAAAGTACAAATTAAGTTATTCTGTTGCTGTTTGCTGTATATTAAATACGTAACTATAATAAGACAGTGCTTGAAATTGTAATAAATCTGTTACCTATATCTATACATTTTATTGAACGTCAAGTTATGATAAATCTACAAAAGAGTATCTAACAATGTTTTATTATAGTTGTTTTCCAACCTCTTTACGAATAAATTCACCTTAGCGCATATTCGTCCAAGCTTAAATAAAACCTTTGAGGTGTAATTTTCCTGGCAAAATTAACATATGGGTTTCCCTCTAGTAAGAAGGAGGCAGCGAAGCGAGGGAGGTGTCAGGTATGCCGTTAACGTAACACCGAGGTACATAATAATACCTAGGTGACTTGTGACTAGTACCTAGTTTATTACAATGTAAGGTACAAGTCTGCAAGTGGAGGTACCATTGGATTGTTGTCGTTGTCTAATGATTGCAGTGGTTACATTAAATAACTTTTATTCGACACACCTATCTATCAACTCGATCTACTAGTAATTTACAAAGATTTTCAGTTGAAATTATAATAACTACCTACATTTTGGTCTGTTTTTTTTTTATTTTTACAAAACGTTAGTATTATTATTCTTATATGTCTTTTAGTATGTTAATTAAAATACGTGTTGTAAATTGGCCGCACAGTTGAAGCTGTGTCCGGGAAACCGTCTTCCGTGGATCGTGTCGTGTGTTCGATTCTGGCACGGTACAACTCTTTGTAAGATCTAGAAATTGTTGTTCGTTGTCTGGGTACATCAAGTACTCACGAATTTATACGGCAAAGGAGAAAAACATAGCAAGGAGTATGGTTAAAAAAAACAGCCAGCACTCAGTTAGTTGGGTACCAAATCTTTATCTTTCTAAAATACCCACAGTAAAAACAACTAACTAGTTTACATTCTGTGGTTTGTCTTCTTTTATGCTTTCCTTATTTTACATGGATATTCTGAGATACCGTTGTTCCGGTCCGATTTGAGTATTCTTGTAAAATTAGGTTACCCGTATTTCATCGACTGCGTAATAAGTTCAGATGTCGTTCTGTAGCTAATTCGGCTGTCTTTTCTAGGCTTTTTAAAACTAAAGGCTAATAAAGAAACCCTGTTCTAAAAATACTAAACCAAGTACTTAATTAGAATTAAGAAAGGCAACAGAATTTCAAAATGTTAGTTCAAGAAAGTTCAACGAACCTCATTATATGTAGAATATTCTTTACATTTTTACGAGTGAACCCGAAAGTGAATTTAATGCTTAACTACTAAATAATAAAGAAATCTGTGCGCTAACCTATTCTTGTGAAGTAACCAAATGGAAAATTGCGAAGAACAGACGAAAATTCTTATGTACCAAGTGAAGCGTGTACAAACATTAATTTCGTTATTAAGACTCGGATGGTCACAATCAAGAGAGTATTCTTCTCTGCACATGTTTGTGTACATTTCATTATTTATATTTTGGATAAATAATTTTATTTTACTCTTAACGAAGTCTTTAGTTTTTATAATGTAGTTTCGCGATATTTTTTTAATCTTTACATCGTTCGATTTGATGAATTCACATTGTCGTTTTACTTGCTAACATTTTAATAATGAGATATGCTACTGCATACGCTGCGTTTCTGCTCGAAAATTGTGATAGGATGTTGTCCTGAAAATCGTGACACAATAATCCTGCAATCACGCAAATGGACTCTATTCAGGTGTTCATTTGTTGTGTTACTCTAAGCTAAGCCATATATATACATATAATACGTACAGCGTAAAGGTATCTACCTGATCTGGCATTTCAGTGTTTGTGTTGTTTCGCTACACTCTGCAACGTCACAATGGATTGAAAATTTGAAATACATTACGTAGAATATATTTTTTTATGGGATTAGGCGCATACTAGTAGACGTATAACCTGATGGTATGCACTCGGCGTCGCCCATGTATACTTGACCCCAAGATTTTTACAAGTGCGTTGCCGTTCTGTTAGGCCGTGGTATCTTTTCGGACAAGCCGGCCCATTCGTGGGCAACACATGGGCAATACGTGGGCGAAACATGGAGCTCATACACACGTATGTATGTGCATTGTGCATTGCAGTAGTTTTATATGTGTGTATAAATTGTTTATAAAGTATACCATGCGGCTTCAACTCTTTATTTCTATTACCATTCTTACTAATAATAACCAAGGTTACAATAGAACTTAGTAAGTACATAATTATGACCATTACTTTTCTGCAAAATTACTTCACATTAAACCTTTCGGTCAGCCGCGAGTAATTTTCTTCGACGTTATCACGATTATTACAGCGAGGCATGCGACAAAATACGCAAATCATTGTTCCTTCGTACCTTGGTAACATTTCACGACGCTATTAGGTGACCGAGAAGTAAGCAACGTTCGCATTGAATAAACTCCCGTATATCCATCTTGATAAATCCGCCATGTTCTACCTTAACTTCTTAGGTACCTGTTCCATATAATTAATCGTTAGGGATCACGCGATCGCGCTTTTTGTAAGTAACTTTATTCGGATTGCTTACACAGCGATTTGCTGCAGGGATAAATTGGTATAATTTATTAAAATACCTTTCCCAAGTAAACTCCAAGGTTGGAGGTTAGTTAATATTAATTTGTCCGTTATTTCCATTATTCTTTGCGCGGATTATTAAAGCGTGGAAGGTTAAAAGCCTCCACTGATTACACAAAGAATCCGCCTGGATTCGGGCAGATACGCAGATTTATATATTTTTCTCGGTTGGATATTTCTTTCCTTCTGGGAATGGCATGTTCCACTACCATTTTGCATGCTATAAATATTTGATGATACGCATTGCTCGGCGGAAAATTCAAACTCTAATGAAGTGAACTTGTGAACTTTTCCTATGAGCTGATTTAAGTCTACTTGACTCGGAGCTAAACGAAATCCTCCAAGTTACCTCGTTAGTGCGGCTAAATCTTTAAACTTGACGAACTCATTAGTCAACGGGATATTATATTTATAAATGATTAATAAATTAACTTAAGCGGTTGGGTAATTAGTGAACAGTCTGCGTCATTATCGTTTAAGCTAGCGTTATGTTTAAATATTAAAAAAGACTTTGCCTTAAGTCTTTTAATGCTTTTTATTGTATAACAACGCGTAAAGTAGTAGTATGAACTTGAAGCAGAAGACGGAGGTAATGCAATAAAAAAAACGCGAAATCACTACCTAGATACATATTAAATCTTTTTTATTTCTTGGGTACCCACTTCATAACAAGCATTAAAATTAGTTGGGTGAATACTAACATGTATGTTTCTCAAATTCTATACTAGTTCTTAATAAACAGGAAGCTATTAATAGGGTGTAATGTCGACAGAAGCGGAGTGCGATGGCCGCGGCGATGGAGACGAGGGTCGCAACGTCAGCGAGCTGCTGCTGCCGCAGTACGCGCTGGCGACAGGCGGGCTGGCGAGGGACCATCGCCCTCTCATCACCTTCCCCGACAACAACAACTTCCATATCATCACACCCTCAGAGTACCGACGGCTGCTGCTTTACCTCACGTCTGTGCCCTCGTGAGTATCATCCTCGTATATGTATTTATTTAAATAACATTTCCATTCATAGTAACTTAAGTATCTACATACATATAATATGTGGTCCTCAATAATCACTTTATCCTGTGCCAAAAACAGTATAAGTATCCATTCTGATTTTTTTATATGATTATAAAATTTGGCAGTATAATGTTAAATATATCACTCGTAATATTTAGAAATTTGTAATTACTCTATCCTTGTATTTATTAAAATAGGTAGGTCGGATCTTAAGTTTTGAAAATCAAATATAAAATAGATTTTTCTTACACATATGTATTTAGCGCTTGTCATGTAGGGGCGATAAAGAGTTTTTTGGAATAATAGGAGTATTTCATCCCGTATTTCCTCTTCACTGAGTACGTAATACCAACCTGCCAGTTCGGTACTTGACCCATTTCATATCGTCACTTGAGGTGGATACGGGGATTACACGGATTTACACGTACATACTACATAGGCACGATGTCGTTCAAACTTGTTTTTAAGGTTTTAAACTTCCCATTTTAACGCCTTTTTGAAACATTGCAGCATTGATCATATATGTTAGTTTATTTATAAGAAATGTAAGTAAAAAGTATATCATATATAATATGTTTTATTTATAGTAACATCAATCATTGATTTGCCTCGCCCTAACTTGGTCAAAAGGAGGCGTCAGACGTTCCTTCGGCCAGTGCATTATTGTTTTTGCCCACCCCGGACAACCATTAAGCCTAATAGCTTAATTAAATGAAACATCAAATTATATCCATTGTCTATCTAACAAAATATTTATACAACAGATGTCATGGTACGCAGTATGTTTACATAGCTACCTAGTGTTTATTATGTTATCATAGCTCAGGTACATAGTGTACAATGGCTATATTGTAACCTTATAACAATAGATTGGCAGACAATCTTCCGAACTTCGTCTAGACTGCGACATTCCACTTCAGTTCACACGAAGGGCATTGTAATGATGTAGTAAAGGACGTAACAGGGTATTACATTCAGCATGGAAAAGGTGGTTAAATTAGATGCTATTTTGTTTACAAATTCAGTATATTTATACTGAATCTCTAATGAAACTCGTAGTTTTGTCAGTGCTTTGTAATTAGAGTCATTGATTAAACCTTATGTAGGTATCTACAATTTTGTTAAACACTAGCCAACAATTGGTTTAAAATTTTCACTTAAACACTTTCAGAAATCCACCTTCCATTTGTTAGTTAAGTATAAATTAATTTCGCAATATTTTACTGAGTGAGCTTAATAAGAGTGGCCCACCCACGGAGATTCTTAACGCTCCATTGAACTCTGTGCTCCAATACAGAGTCATAATTTCATTATCTAGGATATTGTGCAAGTGTCGTTACTGTGACTACCGAACGTGAGATTTTGTATTTTGTTCTAAGCATAAACCATTTTTAAGGTCCTACGTCATTACCAATGATAACACATGAGTTATGTCTGCAGCTCTAATTGAGGAAATGATATGCAGTTTTATACTTTATTCGTTTTGAATTATTTTAAACAATTCAGCTTTTAACTTATTGGCCTTTGGGGTTAATTGTTAAAGCAATAAAATAATGCCGCATGAATACTACGGTACACCACCAACTGACATGCAGATTAATGGATTGTTTACGTTCCCGTGGGCAATATTTAAAAGCAAACATTAAAATCAGAACACAGTGCTATAGTGATAATTTATTTTGATAAATACAATGGCAGCCAAGAGGAAAAAATAAAGACAAACATTTAGTAAAAAATATAATTTTAAAAGCAGCTGTTGGTTACGTGGGGAAACCTCAACGCAGCTTCACTAGACTCTTCCAAAAATGACCATTAACTCCGCAATTTAAAAATTATATTGTTACTTGCCATGAAGGTCACCCCTAAGTTCGTATTAACTGAAAATCCACCATAACACATCGTGATAGAATATTTATTGCCACAGCCTTAAAGAATCGATACCAGACGGCATTAATAACTGATTGTTAAGTAAATACTTAGGATACCGATCGATAGGCAGTTTCATTACTAATGGATCTATTTCTTTCTGGTTACAGGTTATTGGAAGCAGACATGGGCTTCCATATTATAATAGACAGAAGGAAAGATCGATGGAATTCTGTCAAAACAGTATTATTAAGGATCTCAGTAAGTATTCGCAGTCTTACATGTTTTTTTAAACTAATAACAATACTTAGCATGAAAGCCCAGAGTCTGGGCCCGAATATGTCGGGAATACGCCTGATCTGGGCAGTCTGGTAATAACAATTAGGTAGCTATTGACAGGATTACATGATGTAAGACACTTTCAAGGGGGATATACTAAATCAATGAATTATGTAATGGGGTAAGATAAAATGGCTCGCTTCCAATTATTAAATGAGAGTGCTATAGCATCTACGAAAGTAGGTAGGTATAATAACTAAGAAATGTTGTGTTACACAATGAACTACGCAAACACGCAATCAAAAGTGGGTCATGTTCTGAACGAAAATCCAGAATTTCACATATTCAACTAATTGATTACGACATCTTACAACATTTGTACATACCTAAACATTTGCTTCAAATACTTAAAGTCATAACTAGAAATTCAATATTACTCCTTTTTTTTCAGGAATTCTTCCCGGGAATAATTCACGCAGTTTACGTACTTCGACCAGCTAGCTTTCTTCAGAAGGCACTGTCAGAAGTCAGTAGCAAATTATTTAAGGAGGAGTTCCGGTTCAGGGTGCTAGTCTGCTCTTCGGTTGAGGAGCTGTACGAGCACTTTGATAGGTCACAATTGACGGCAGATCTCGGCGGAGACCTACAGTATTCTCATGCTGAGTGGATACAACAGCGAATAGTAAGTTTTTTTTTAATTCTGTGAAAATACTAACATACTCATTATTTCACATCACTCGTTATTTTGTTTACGTGTACGGGACTCGTTCCTTCAATGTAAATTCGTCGAAACTAACGCCATCTAGTTTCGTAAGACGTAACATAGCGTGTCTAAATCGCGCTATTAAAGTTTTTCACATACAAGAAACTGGAGAGTTCAATTCAGTTCAAATTGTTCAATGATGTTTATCCTTGCGCACTGAATTAAATGTGTGGAAATATGGGAAATTTCATACAGTGCCGATCGCCTGTATGAAATACTGAGAACAATTACCTGAAATAATGAGTCAATCAAGTGTGTAATTTAACGCACTAATTTAAATACATTACCGAGTAAAAAAAAACTATTTTATTTTTCAGTAAAGTTTCAGTTGAATATACTTATAATTAATATTTTTCAATGCGTGTTTCAGGCATTAGAGAAATTTTCTACGTTAATGAAAGAAATATCAAGTAAATTGGACGAGTTTATGCATGAAATTGTTGACTGCGATATGGGAAATGACCCGACACAAACCAAAGATTTATTAGACTGTCAGGAAAATAGGTGAGTAACCGTGAATTGCCTTTATTATGATTTGTCCTGCATTTTGTTTATTCCGAACTATTGAACTATGGTCTACCGGTTTAGATGGCTAACTGAAGGCAAACAATCTTGGTATTTTTTGTATATTAAAAAGGTCAAAAATGCGTATAAAGATTATTTAAAATAAGTTTATTTACATAATTTTTTTACATTTAGTTAATCACCAAAACTGATAGAGTATACTAAAAAAAATCAATTGTGAATCATTAAAAGACTGTTTGATTGTCACTGCTGACTTAGAATAATTACACCGATAAGTCCAACCCTTATTTGTTTTGTTTTTTTTTTTTTTGTTTCTATATTTAATTTTTCTTCGATATACTTAGCATTCCACACCTTATATATTCTGAATTATGTGATATTAATATTTTTTTTGTTTCAGGTATAAAGCTTTAAAAACAGAACTGGCATCAGCGACATCGCAAGGCGAAGAGTTGCTGACGCAAGTACGAAAACCAAATCTTACTTATAATATAATCAGCCATGTTGCTGCAGTTGAAAGGTAAGAAGTTTTTCTACTTCTGGAGATATCTATATAATTCTTCAAACGATCTTAAGATTTTATCATAATCTGGTAGTTTCCAACTAGTCAAATTCAATAATTTTATAGAAATGTTAAAAACCATACGTTTTTTGGAATTTTGTAAAATATCACAATATTACTTACATTCTTGCTTAAAGTGAATTGATTAAACGAATATTTAGAAATATAAGTCCAGACTTCCTCAAGATGATTTCGTTCACTATGTCAGTATGTTAGTGGTGTAAATAAATATAACTTGGAAAAAGTCACATTGGTACTTGCCAGTTTCGAACTAGCCTTCTCATGCATAAGAAGCGGGCGCCTGTTTTAAGTCAAATAGCATACCTACACATTTCTGAAAATTAAGCTATCAAAAATTTACAATTAATTTGCCTTAATTATTTCAATTTTGAAATAATTTATATTTCTATAATCTAGTAGGTAAAACGTTGACTAACCTACATCTTTTATTTTCCAGATTACTGGTGCAACTGGACGAGACTGAAAAACAATTCGACAACTTTTGGCAAAAACATTCCACGAAGCTAAACCACTGGCTTAAGTTCAGAACATTTTTATTAAACTTTAAACAAATGCAGGTACTTAACCAATTACTCTTAACCTAATTCATAGAAAACTCTACCCTTCAATAATTGTTAAGATTTTACGGGTCTAAACTGGAAATGAGATGCCTGTTTATTTTTATTCCGAAAGTCAAACATAGGTGTTCTTGGTGAACACACTCGATGCGATTCGTCAGGGTCTTTAGCTGGTCGAAATACAAAATCAGAGGACCGATGTTCTACCAAATCGGAAACCGCTCTATTAACGACTAAGTCCGAAATATCCATACATTTCTCTTTACTGTCCATGCCGTCGAAGTTACGTATATCTTTCCTCTTCTGGGCATCCAGCTGAAATGTTAACTTCTGTATTTTTCTTGTTTTATCCTCTAAACGAGCCTTATAGTCCTCAGCCTGCTTCGTCTTCTTGTTACATTCTGTTTGCAAATTAGCAATCTTCCTTTTACAAGTCTCTAATTCAGCTTTTAGTTTCTGAATGTTCAATGTATTTATTTCTTCCATACATTGTAGCTTTTCCCTCGCGTGTTTCGCCACGCTCTCTTGGTACAATGTCTCCTGTTCAACCTGGTACGCCCAAAATGACATCGCCCGCATAGCAATATCCATAATTGTGTCTGGTCTCATGCCCGCCAAAACGATTGACTTGAAAGTTTCATTGGGCCTCAAATCTGCTTGTATAACATCAAACTTATCACGTAACTCAGTCCCACATGCTGGACAGGTCAATGAGTTTTCAGCAGTTCTTTTAAATTCACGTTTTCCGTGTTCAACACAAAACGCGTGCGAACATGTAGTTACCCACGCTTGATTTGATAAAGACTTTCTGCATTTACGAAAGTTGCACACAATTTCCATAGCCATTATTACAGTCACTTAATAGTTTTTCATCACAGGAATAAAATAACAAATTAATAAATTATCAACTAATTTATGCTTACATTTCTAAATTCCATTTACTGCGTGATGCGTAATGTATATTTCAAAATGTCAAATTATTATTTTTTTCTAACCATAAACTTCATTTCTATTTTCTTTTTCCATTCAACTTTTTGGTATGTACCTACATTCAGCCTTCTTGATATTTTTTCTTAAATGGTTTCATATTTTATTGTTCTTTGCATTTATTTAAATACAAATCGTGATACTAATTTAGTATTTTTGTTTTAGGCTACTTTAGATAACCATCTAAAAGCAGCATGCGATATGACGGAGGTGGGCGAGACAGCAAACAGGGTAGACAGTCTTCTACAAGAGGCTGGCGACTTTGAAAAACTTTGTAACTGTGATCTCGATACTGCAAGTTCAGTTATTGATGATGGTAATTATTCAGTTTGCATTAAAAATAATGTTTTGTAGTAGATCATGTTTTCTTATTGAAGTAGTATAAAAAGCATAAATCCTTTTTACAATATAGTCCTCAAAGCTATAAAACGAATGGTTCGAAATTTAAATCTAAAAGCCTGTCATTTGTTTTGCTGGAACAAAAAAAACTGTGTTAATTTAGTTTATTTAAATTAGAGGTAACAATTTATTAAATTGTAATAACTGCGTAGCTTACGTAAATTATTTTGTTTTGTTTTTTTTTTCGTTTTTATTCATAAATGAATGAATGAATGAATGAATGAATGAATGAATGAATGAAAACTTTATTTGCTAGAATATAGGTTATACATGGTGATCGACAATTTTAGAGTTTCACTATATTCGACATACATCTAGTCGTGCAAATATTTGTGACAACTGGGTCAAAACAATATTAATATTTAAACATGCATTACATACACAATTATTAAAAAAGAGATAAATTGTTAGCGTTGTCATATTAAATAGCGAATTAATTTCATATATTGATACATAATTACATCAATTTAAAATTCGAAAGTATTATTAATATTATGAAAGTCAATTTATTTTTATTATTAGGTCTTATGAAATGTCAGAACGATTTCAAATTTATAAAATCATCAATCGAATAAAAACATTTGTCACATAGCCATCGAAAAAGTGTTCTACTAAATTCTAAATCATTCAGTTTTCTTATTGAATCCGGAAGGTTATTAAATAGCTTCACTGCCATCGCGGAGCAATTTTTTTCACACAGCTTAAGACGATTTCGCGGCACTACTAGCGGCTTTTGCCTAATTTTCCTATTTGAGAGGGCGTTATCATCCTTTTCAAAGAGCGATGAATGATTTCGAACGAATTTACACATTTCAAAAATGTATAGTGATGGAAATGTGAGTAAATTGTTATTTTTAAAAACCGGTTTGCAGGAGTCAGTCCAGTTTAGATTATAAATCGCTCTGAGACATTTTTTTTGAGCTATAAATGCTCTTTGTGCATCTGTGGAGTTTCCCCAGATGACTATCCCATATCTCAATACAGAGCATACGTGACTGTGGTATACCAGTAGTGCTGTTTGAACATTTGTTATTTTTTTTATTCTTCTTAGTGCATATATAAATTTATTGATTTTTTTACATACTATATCTACATGTGATTTCCAATTGCAAAATTTATCAAAATATATACCTAAAAATTTAATATTATTTACTTCTTCAATGTCATTATTATTGTATTTTATTTTTATGTCAACTGTGTCATTCGATTTTGATTTGGTATTATACGTACTAAATGTCATAAATTTGGTTTTATCTGTATTTATTTGTAGATTATTTTGATTTAACCAGTCATGTATGCTTTCTAGAGCTCTATTTGTGGCGTTCTCTGCTTTTTCCACAGTGTCCTCTTTGGTCAAAATAGTGGTGTCGTCTGCGAATAGAATGGTGTATTGGTCAGTTGAATCAGGCAGGGAGTTGATGTATGTTAAGAATAACAATGGAGAGATTCCAGTCCCTTGTGGCACACCACTTTTGTTAACTTTGTATTCAGATCTATATGTTACGTAGTTGTTAGATTTTGGGCACATTTTAACTATATCGGTGCACTGTTTTCGACCCTGAAGGTAGGTATCGAACCAATTGTAGGCTGGACCTCTTACGCCGTACTGTTCCAGTTTATAAAGCAGCTTTTCGTGACATACCATATCGAAAGCTTTACTCATATCGAGGAAGACGGCTATTGGAACCTGTTTTCTGTCTAAAGCACTGAGAATTTCTTTGACTAATTTATAGCCTGCTAGAGTGGTAGACTTATTTTTAATAAAACCGTTTTGCTGTTGGCATATTATATCATTTTTTTCAAAAAACTTAGTCAGTCTTATGCACATTACTTTCTCGAATATCTTGGAGAAGATTGGAATTAAAGTAATAGGTCTATAGTTACCTGCATCCATTCTCGAGCCCTTTTTATGGAGTGGTATAACAACTGACAGTTTGAGTGCTTCAGGAAAAATACCTTTTTCCATGGATAAGTTTATTAAGTAATCCAATGGTTTTAATAATGCCAAGATGTTTTCTTTCAATATTCTAGTTGTAATACCATCGTACCCCGCCGAATTAGAATTTCTCAACCCCATTACTAACTTATAAATTTCAGCAGAATCTACAGGTTTAAGAAAGATAGAATTTGCAACCCTTGCCCCACAAATTGGTTTATTTGTAGACTGTATAACCATGTTTGGTTTTGCAATGTTTATAAAAAAATCATTAAAATGTGTAGCAATATCGGCACCATTCTTTATCGTTTGTTCACCATTCAAAATTTCCCTAATTTCGTTCGATTGGTGATCACCTTTCAGTCTGTCATTGATAATTTTCCATGTGGCTCTACATTTATTTTCGGCTTTTTCTATATATTTTTTATTTTTCCTATTTTGCGTATTTATGACACAATTTCTCAATATTTTACAGTAAGATGCGTATTTTTTCTTATTTTGACTGTTTTTGTTTTTATAATATTCGTATTGGAGTTTACGCTTTGTGGCAAAAGATTTTTTTAGACCTTTAGTAATCCATTTAGGGTTTTTAGAATTTTGGTTCATTTTGATTTTTATAAAAGGGAAGCACAAATTAAAAAACAAACAGATTTCATTGTGGAATAATGTAAAAGCCTTATTAACATCAGTTTCCTGGAAAACATTTGAGAAAGATAAATTACTGATGTAATAGCGGAACTTGTCTAGGTTATCTTTGCATAGGTCTCTTTTTGAAACAAACCAATATTTATTTAGACTATGTTCTAATTTATTTTTACTATTAATTGTCAGTGTTTGACCTGTGTTATGGTCTGATAGTCCCAATTCGTGTACTTCTCCTTTAGAATGTTTAATGTCACTAATTATATTGTCAATACAAGTGTTTTGTCTAGTAGGTTGAGTTATGTACGGTTTAAAGTTATAGTTGTATAGGATATTAATAAATTCGTTTTTATGTTTTGTATTATTCAAAATGTCAATGTTAAAGTCTCCACATATTATGTTCTTGTAATGCTCTTTATCATGAAGTTTATTGAGTAATATTTGTATTTTTCTTAAGAAAATATTTAAATCTGAATTAGGTGTTCTATATACACACAGTAAATTAATGTTATATTTTTTTAGACGTACTCCGCATATTTCGAAGTGTTTTTCTAATGTCATGTTTTCTAGCCATTCAATGCGTTCGTATTCAATATTTTGCCTTATTAATATGCAAACACCCCCGCGTTTCTGGTCTTTCCTAGAAAAGGTACTAACTAATTTAAAAGCATTTATTTTTAAGTTTTCTTCGTCCCCGGATTTGATAAAAGTCTCAGTTAGGCAAATAAAATCGACTATGCAATTTTTATCCCTTAGCAGATTTATTGCTATTTCAATGTCATCAGATTTATTAATGGCACCAGCAATATTTTGGTGGAATACGACGTGGTTATAACTTTGTTTAGCCTCGAAAAAACGTTTCTTTTGCCGATACTTCTAAAGTGCCAATATCATGTGAAGCATCATTTAAATTGTGATTAAGAGAGCTACTGTATGTTTGAGTACTTTGATGTTTCGTACGTGCCATACTCGTTCCCGGTCTGTTTTGGGTATTTTTACTAAACTGCAAAAATGTTTCATCGTAGTCTAGTTGGTCTATCGCTGAATTTATTTTATAACATAATGATGTAATGTTATTATAATTATATATGAAAAAACACTTCTTCCTCTGTCTACAAATAAGTTCGAGCATTTTATTCAATTTGGATTCAATGGAACAAATGTTTTTACTCACATTAATGATGAGTACCGGACATTCAATCGATTCTAAAAACAGAACAAGTTCTGTAGTCATTTTTAATGTATTTGTGTCATTTTGTCCTATAGATATAATTAATTTGTCATCGGGGGTAATGTCAAATAGTTTAATACTCGTCAATATTTCTTCTGTAGAGGCATTTGGTTTAATAATAGATAGAAAACGATAATCATTATAGGTATTATTGAGTCTGGATTTACAAAGCTGTGATGCTAATCCCCTGCATTGTCTACCTCCCACTATAAATGCCCTTTTTTCCTGCTTTTGTCTTTTATTAATATTTTGAGTCTCTGGTCTACTTGATATTAATTTCGGTTTCGTTATGATGGGTGAAAGTAAGTTGTTTTTGGGTTCTTGAACTGTCTCGACTTCTTGTTGTTGAGGGAAATTTGTTGCGATGACTTGTTGAGCCTCTGTTTTCTTGTCCGACTGTCTAGCAATTATGTAAGTTTCTGCTTGACTGGTACTTACTTTGTCCAGGGCCGTAGATATGGTCGTATTACTTTCGTTAAGTTTCAGAGGAGATATTTGAAAGCTGTTTGTAAGGCGACGACGTACAGTTTTTTTCATGCTTGAAGACATGTTGTGTCGAAAAGTAGTCAAAGGGCTTCTACATAATTGCCTTAAAACGTTTAACTCTTGCTGTATATTTTTTATTTCCTTTTTCAGGTCTATGTTTTCTAGAATGACATTTTCCATTTCATGTTGCGTACTTTCTAAATTATTCTTTAGATCTCTAATTTCGTCCTTGAGGTCAGACACAATAGTGGAGCATATATTAGTGGAAAGGTCTAAGCTTCTGAATAGGTGCCAATTTATCCTAATAAACAAAGGTTAGCTAAATACATACGTGGAAACTCCACAAAACATCGGGAACACTCTAATTGTCGGCTAATATATTACTAAAATTGTACTTAGGCGTTTAATTAACCATGATTATAAATTTATTACTACAGGAGAGAAATTAATGCAAGACCCGTTGAGTCAAGTCGACCACATAGAATCAAAATGCGAGGAACTAAGACGAACGAGTGCTTTGCTTTTGGAGAAGATTCAGAAACGAAACTTACTATTAACCAAAGCTAGAGAATTAATGGACAGAATAGACAAGGTAATAATGTAGTTTATTTTGCACATTTCATTTCATTTCATAATATCACGCTTTTTGTTACCCGAAGTAATAGCAGAATTTATTGTACACTCCCTTGTTGAACCCAAAGAGAGTTCTAGCATTGTTACATTGAAAACGAATCCTGAATAGCGATAAGTCAAGTAGTCCGTTCTTTTTTCAAATGTTAGTATCGATACATTTCTATGAATTGGGTAGTTTTCTCATTCGACCCTGTGATTCAACAATGAAACTATTTTAAGATACACCTTCGTTCTTTAATTTTGCTTTATACTTACTTAATAGTCATCTTTTTAGATGAATCAAGAGAAATAAGTAGAATTGCTATAGATAAAATAAAATATTTATACGAAATTGTCGCTTTTGACATATCAGTTTCACTTCATCACATCATCAGCCTATAAGTGCCTTCTCACACGGAGAAGGTTTTGTTCAAGGCGTATTGGCTATTTGAAACTTATAATTAGAAATAAGATATACAATAAAGATTCCATGAATCGCTAAGTTTATAAGCGAAAATAATTAATTCTAGAATTCCTCATCACCTACTATGAATATAAAATACACATAGGTAATGTCACGCAAATTATTCATTACTAGCTACTCTCGCGCGGTTTCACCCGCTGCTCAGCTCCATTTAATCGTGATGTTTTATAGCCTATAGCACTCAGGAACCTTGTAGCTATCTATCACTGAAAGAATTTTGGCAATCCGGCTAGCGGTTCCAAAGATTACCCCCTGCATACAAACTTACAAATTTTACATCTTTATAATATTAGTATAGATAACATCGACTTTCACCCGTTTTGTTATAAATATTTACACAAAACGGTTTTGACTGCACGGTTGGCGCGGTGGCTGGGCAACTGGCTGCCGTACAACGTCCCGCGGGTTTGATTCCCGCACGGAACAACACTTTGTGTGATCCACAAATTGTTGTTTCGGGCCTGGGTGGCTTGTGTATGTGAATTTGTATGTTTGTAAACGCATCCACGACACAGGAGAAAATCGTAATGTGGTTCATTTAAAAAAAAATTACCATGCCCTATTGGATCGGCCTGTAGCAACATTATAACTAATATTAAAGTCAAAGTCAAAAATCATTTATTTCAATTAGACCACAGTAGGCACTTTTGAACGTCAAGCAAGCAAAAAAGGAAAAAAGTATATAACAAGAGCTTTAAAATTAAGCGTGTCAGTCTGTCCGTCTGTCTTCTAGTGAAGCTATTTGCTCGTTCCAAAGTGTAGATTCCTATGGAGAAGAACGAGCAAGAAACTCCATGGTTACTCTTTTTCAATCAGTTTTACAATACATTTCTTTGTTACATCATTTAGTCGGTTCTGATATGTGAGAACAATGTAACACTAATGTTCAGGCAAAAAGTACGAAAAAGAAGTGAACCTCAAGGACAACATATTTAGACAGCGGAGATGACCAGTCCCAATAGGCGGCGCCCGTTCACGAACATGACACGTACACCAGCACCGCCCAACTCAACCATATTATAGGGAATTGAGCGATCCAGTGCCCGTGCCACCGCCAATGAGACCTCTGAGTGAGCATGACAGCTCCCAGCCGACACAAGTACCCATATTCTACAAGTCTTACTTAATTATAATAGGTTACAAGGCACTCACATTTACAAAATCTTAGAAGTTCATCAACAATTAACAACATAGTGTACAATTTAATAATTAAAATCAAAAAAAAAATACTCTAAACATCCTGTGGAGTAGGACCAGCTAGCCTCCAAGCATTTTTATCTTGTATATAATCATTTAGTTTGTAGTATGCTAGTTTACATAAATGTTTCTTTATACATAATTTAAATTTGCTTTCATTTAAATTTTGAACTTCAACTGGGATTTTATTATAACATTTAACACAGAAACCCAGGAATGACTTATGCACTTTTGCCAATCTAAATAAAGGCTGACTCAATCTATTCCTATGTCTAGTATGATAATCATGTTTGTCAGATACCTTTACAAATAAGTGTAGGTTTTTCCTAATTCCAGCATATTGTATTAAAAACCATTGGCCAACACCTGATATTCAGTGAGAAATGGGTAGAAGTCCGAGCTACAATAAATTCACTCATAACAACATACATAGTTCAAATATTTTTTTATTTACAGGCCAACGAATGGTGCACAACTGGCGTAGAAATATTAGCTGGCGAAGGCGGATTGATAGCAGTGGATAAATTATTGGAAGACGCTGCCAGTTTCGGTCTGACTGCTCCCGACCAGTTCCGGGACATGTTGATGCAGTCAGCCACGCAGGAGACCAGAGCTTTAGTCACTCAGGTATGGTTCCTAATATAAAAAGGCACCTTTCAGATAAATAGATAGTTTCTTATCGTAGTTTTTCGTTTAGATATAAAAATACACATTATACAGGGTGTGTTTGTGTGTATACAGTGTCTTTTTACACCCTGTATAATCGCTTTTAATTACTATCCCAAAATGATTTCTTACTTAAAATTTTGCTGTGGAAACAACAGGGTCTATAATTGTGTCCTAGCTGCGCCAATTCTGTAACATCTTGTTAAATATTATGGTACGAAAATAAATATATGATTTTTTTTATTATTTCCATACAAATTCATAGAACAGTTTCGTTTTCAACATTTCAAAAAAAGTATTTAATTTGACTAATTTTCAAATACCGTATTCTAACATTCATATTGTTCTTAGGTGGCACAAAGAGTAGAAGATGTGTGGCTGATGGTATCTGTCAAGCGGGCTACTCTTCAAAGGGCAGCTGCCAAGCCAGCGCGACCGGTCCAGTCTGTGCCTCCTCAGAGTGCAGTCATACCAGCAACCAATCACCAGGTCAGTGCTATTAACAGCTTACTAAGGTACATTGTTCGAGGATGCTCGGCTAGTTTCAAATCACGACAGGAACTTATAATCATCGCAGTGCCGGTGACGGAGCTAAGTTAACGTAGAGCAACGTACTTATGTATAGTTGCAGTGTTTGGCTAAAAATGGCTATTACAAAAACAATGTGAGAAAGTTAAGTCTCTGAAAGACACCTACTCAAAATACGAAGAAAGAAAAATGATTGAATTCACAATTTAAGTGGCGCACAGAATGTTTACATATTTAGGTAGTAGAAGGTCTCAATTTTGTTTGCTTTTTAGGTATTCACTATGTTGAATATCTACAAACTAAAATGCAAATGAATTCTAAAGGTTAGTTTCACTGCTAACGGAAAAATTTCTGTTAGCCACATTCCAATATAATGTCGCTACCACACCTAAAACTATATATCTAAGAGAATTAGATTAATCGGAACTAAAATACATAATTACGAAGTAGCTGCTGAAAAAAAAAATTTTGGGCTAATTTTTATTGTTCCTCATACGTCAGTGTCAGTTCACTGTCTATGTACGTTGGAATTTAACGTTATTACAAATTACCAAAACAAAAACCTACAATTTTACTTCGGAGTATGGTAACAATACTTTTTTTCAGCATCAAACTACATATTTAATAAACAGGGTAGGTATAACATTGAGCTACTTAAAGGTCATAAGTTGAGACTAAATGTGTTACAACTAACACAAAAAAATCACGTAAGTATTAATAACTGTAAAGAAAAAATATATTATAACTCCATCTTAAATTAATTCTCAAATAGGTGTATTGTTGTACCTACTTATTTTTATGTTTTTACATAAAATACCAATATTAATTAATATGATATAATGTTTAATGATGTCGTTAAAAGAGCGACGAGTTCTCACAAAAATTAAAAATTAATTTTCTTGTACAATAACGCTCAGTTAAATTTTTTCTTTTCTCTTGGATGCCTTTACAAACCTTGGTATCAAACCCAGACCCATATTTAAAGGTTGCATTTTGATTAGACATTAAATATAACATTACACTAATCTTCCAATTATTAAAGCCTGTAGAAAAAAAAATTTTGATACAACCATATAAGTTTATAATTAAAACAAATGATTGGAACATGTGTCAAATGAGATGTGCATCTCGTTAATCATACCAAATGGTCGTTAGTCAGCTAAATAGTTAGCTAAGCAGTAAACCCAAATGGCGTGAAATGTTTATCTTTCCTCATAAACTCTGACGTAATTACTTTAACAATCAAGTGCAGTGTTAACGCATGCGACACCTGCGCGACCACTTTCTTGCGCACACGCATACTCGTGCATTGTGACTGTGACCGATACGCGCCACGAATGTAAAGGAAACTACTTTTAACTACCTGTTCTGCCTGCCTTCTATGAAAGTTGTCGGGATAGTGACTCAAGTCGAGGAACTGATTGCTTAAGGATTTATTTATAATTACAAGTTTCGCAAGGAAAGTTGATTTGTGTCTCTCCGATAAAAGGCACCTAAATTAAACACGATATTTTGATGTAATACAACCTACTGCATAACATTTTAGTAACACATTTATTCGCCTATAAATCTCTAGCTAAATTAATTTATTCTACAATAAGCTATAACAAGTACCCCATCATGTGCAGGTAGTTATGCAAGAACTGCTAAGTGTGGCTACCGGGATCCGCATTAGCTGGAAATAGATAAACCATAAAAAATATGTTTTCGTCAATTAAGCTAAACAATTCTAACCAAATGACAAAGGAAAGCCAAATACGCTTCCGGCTATAAAACGTAGTCTGGTTACCTTTAATTACGATAAGTGATACGCGCGATTTATCGCGAATTCGGTTGCAAAAACGCGCGTAATCTACGCTATCGTGTAGAAAGTGCGCGAAGCCCGCAGAGGTCGCGCACTGCGCATGTCAAAGCGCAGCTTTCATTTCATATGGGTTGTAATCATCATCACTAGTAACTGCCAATGCGTTTTCCATTGTTAGTTTAATTTACGACTACATAAATACGACTAGACAGAATCCAATAAGCAATGGAACTAGGTTAAGGCTATGAAATGTACATTTAAATAGGTGAGAGCCATGTTCCGACACAAATGGGCAGGCTCGACCGGAATGATACCACGGCCTCACCGAAAACTGGCGTGAAGCAATGCTTGCGATGTGTAAGAAACGTAACGGCCTAATCGTTCCCCTTCTCCCTCACTTCTGTTTTCCAAATTACACAATCCCCAAATCCTTAACCCTGAAAAAGCCGGCAACGCACTTGGTAATCCTCGAGGTAGCGGGTGTCTGTGTCTGTGCAAGCCGCGAATTGCTTAGCATCAGGTGATCCGTCTGCACGTTTGCCAATCAATACCATACAAAATATTACATAAGTAGATACAGCTACTCAGATTACCGGAACCAGCGAAGAAATAAATCAGTGACTTCTTCCAATTTATTTTCAATTTGCTTAAAGGACCAGTAATAACTACACGTACCTATTTACCTCAAAAATTCCATAAAGTGTCCATTAACCACGTACTATATTAGATGTAATCTAAAAGGGAGAAATCGAAAACCTGTTAAACTAGTAAAAGCCAAAGGATTGCGTGCGTCCGCAAATAGACAGTTTCTTTCCAAGTTTGATTTCCTCAGGGAAATGGATCTATACAACTGTTAGATAAGTTTGCTTTCGATGTTCTCGTCTTGTCAATAACGTCTCTTTCTAAAATGCATACGACATGATAAATAGATATTAACCTAAATATTTTCACACCTTTAATATTTAAGTACGTGTTCTTTTCAAACTGTATTGTGGACACTACAAACATTCCAGATACCTAAAGATAACCAAAGATAGAGAGAAGATAAAATAGTACTTATCGAAACGGTTTAAAATATGGTTCATCAATCACTATTAGCCGCTCACCCACATTTCAGTCCCAAACGATTGGTTTTTTCATCTCTTCCAGAATATCCGTATACGAAAATAAACTTTGCTTCCGTGACTATTTTAAATAATTCTCTCTTTTGATCGCCTTCGTATTCGTAACATCAACCTATTGACCGATACAGATAGATGCACGTAACAGACAGACATTAATTTAACGACAAATTCAATCTTGTGACCTCGATATAATGACTTATCGTTCATCAAGCACAGATAACAAATGTTTGCTTTGGTGCGGACTTCTTGCTTTTTTTTATTTACTTACTTTGATTATTGTTACAACCTTTAAATAGAAATACGCAATAAAGATATTTACTTAGGCAAGTATTTTTTCACTAACATCGCTTGTTTTTATATTTTCCAAATATATGTATAAATAACACGAATACTAAAATGCAGATATTGGGCAATTCAATCAAGAATTCAAATCAAGTGTTTTAAATATTTTATTTCCTTCCAAAACTTACATAAATTATTTGTTAGTACGGATACATTAGTATTTTTTATATTAATTATTGAACCAATATTTGGCGCTTTCTTTTGAAGAATAATGAGAGAAGCACAATGTACTGACAGTGGTGTACACCCACGTTATTGTATTCAAGTGTTCACGTACACGAGTGTAATAACAATCAAACATACGTTTTCTCTTTATGACTAGCCATAACAAATGGATAGGTTATGGATCTGATATAGTACAATTTAATTCTCTTGTATATTAAGTATCAGTAAATGATGTTTCTAGAAGCTGTAACTAGCTGAGCTTATACAGAACAGCGCACATAACAGTAAAGCCATTTAAGTTGCTAGCTTGCTAGTTAAAGTTATATGTACCCTACATTAGATTGCAGGTCAACAGCAAATATCTGCCTTAGAAGGATGACTGCTTCATGTTTTACCTCTACTGATAAACTAAAAACCCTAATAATTGGTAGGACATGAACTATAGACATGATTTAAATTTATTTTCTGGTTTCACAATAACATACAAATGAATAAAAATGTTAATCTTCTCAAGTACATTGATCACGAAACGTGTGGTGGACGTTAAGGCAATCAGTATGTATGGGATACCATATTGTCTACAGAGTACATACATTTATGGTATACTACACTATGGTATACCATTGACAAATAAGTCTCGCAATAATATTTTATGGTGTAAGTGAAAGTGCATATAATAATGGTCACTGTGACCATGGTGTAATGGCGCAATATCCGTGAAACACTATCGAGGATAGAACTAGCTTCTATCGAAGGCACTGCATTCGCAAGTTTCTTCGAGGGCTCTTTCAGATATAGGCGTATCCAATCGAAATGCAGAAATTATCATAGATTATGCAGTAAGGTGAACAAACTTAGAGAAAACCCATAAAATAAGATTTAGTTAAGATGCTTATGTATAATGTTTATGATGTCTTTCCAGAAGCTGACGATTTCAAATAATTTCTCGACATTTCAATAGGAGCCATTAATTCTGTTCTCACTTCACAATCAGACAACATGCAGCTTCCTTTCGTGCTAAGAGTAATAAACGGAGGTGCGATTATAATTCGCGAATGAATATTCAATCGTAGCTATTAGATTTGTAAATGGACAAATTTGCAACAGAACGTGGTCTGTATCTATTAACACACTTTATCGTTCCGCGTTCCATTGACCTAATGTTCACATTTACATAGGTACTACAGTTTGCTGCTTATAAACAATATTTACACCGCTATTATATAATACTATATAAGCTTGTATAATAACATCTTCGTATAAGTTCAACCTAAAAGTAGATCTGAACCAAGTTTCAATTTTCACATAATATTTAGAAATGAATTGCTGTGTGTTAGTCTCGAAATACCGAAATGGCTGGAAAAACTTAATTAATTTTCGACATAAAATATTTGTTGAAGTCTAGGGACATTTAGTAAATAACAATACTGTCATTTTGAGATGGTGCGGACTTCGGGAAACTACTACTCAGACTTATACGTATGTATTCATTTTAATGTTTTAGTGATAAAATCTAAATTACAAAGAAATAAATTAAAATCCTGTTAACCCCATTATGTAGCCTTACAATGTCAGAACCTACCTAATGCGGCTTACCATAAAAGGTAACTTAGCAAACGTTCCAATAAACTAATACGAAATGTGTAGTATGTAGGTAAACGTCAGATGTGAACCAATTTAACCGGTTGTATCTATCTGACCGCTTGTCGATGCATAGTTCACTGCAGCTGCGTTTGCGCACTGTGTGGCAATCGAAATCAATTGAATTAAAGAGCTACGGTCTATTACACCTATTCAGAAAGTTCACGACCCTCAATTATCTTATCCGACCTCTTTCTGTTGACACAATCACACTCACTTTTATCCTTTGCCGATATTTACCAATGTTTTGACATTTGATCTATCAATTTACGAGTTGCAAAATGTAAAGATCACAGCCAACAGCCAACAGCCAAACTTAAATTGAAAACAGTAACTATATTTCAAATTTATGTACTCCGTCAGATATTGGAGACTATTTCAAATTGACTTGAGTTATGATGACATTTCATAACTGCGCTCTTGCAAACTTGCGATTGCAATTAGTACGAGTAGGCGACTAAGTGACTATTTACATACTAATGATATTTGAGTGTAACTACATGGTAGAAAACATCTAAAACCTAAATTAATTTCTCAATAATTAAACTGAAGATGAATATATAATAAATAAATATTATATAATTTGCAATTCTAATGTTGTTATAATATTTTTAATATAATTCTAATTATGTTATTGTAATAGATAGTTTCGTTCTTACTCTACTAGGTTATCACTTTATTTTTAAGAATGCTGGTTACCTGTAATTGGCGACTGTATAAGGCCAAAACCTAATGTTATCATTGTTTTATTTAATTTGCTATATACAGAAGCTGTTGGTGTACCTTTTTTAGATAAATAAAAAAATAAATAAAATATAAATGAAACACATATACTACAAAGTTAGATACGCATAAATAAAACAAGACCTTTGTATGGCGACATCAGAAGTTTTTTATACTATCACATAACAGAATCGTCCTTATTAATATTATCATGCAATACGTAACAACCTTTCCAATACTGGCTTTACTTCCCGGTTTCAAGAATGTTGGCATCAAGGCAAGTTGGTGACAGGACCTAGGCGACGCCTTCGATCATTCATATTATCAGTTTAACATACCAAATAGATATTGGTATTGCACACACACGTGGGAGTAACTTGGAATTAAAAAAACACATTGACCCTACCATAATGTAATATTATTTCAATGCGTGGGCCAAAAGTTACTAAATTGTACAATTAATTCAAGGTTCCAACAGTTTCCTTACGTTCAAAAACCGCAACGATACAAAGGATTTTTTGTTACTTAAAATTTTGATGTCACTAAAAGAGTTTATCATTTTTACTTATAAAAAATAAATATAAGCTTGGAGGCTCCTCAACATTTCTTATACAACGGGCACAGCTGTTAGAGGTGAATGGACTTCGCGTGGTTCGGCTTACAAGTCCCTCGTAATGTAACCTTAATCCTGGTAGCAATACAGCTTATTTTCATAGACCAGCCCCTTATATGGCTTTTCCTGTCATAGAAAATTACATTCCCGATTGTACAGGACTCCGCTTAATTGGATTTGAGATTCCTTCTACGTGAAACTCACCGAGACTGGTCGTTGGAGTAATATAGCTTTGTTATTATATTCTGTAGCCTCGCACAGCCTGGTTACATAGTAAATGGTAACATTCCTTTCTCAAGGTGAACAGATTATGGTTTAGTACATTTACAATTCATAAAAATATCTTATGTCATGAACGACTAAGATAATACGTAATTGTCTGCAAACACGACTAGGCAAAAAAATAAGATTTATTAGCACTCCACTTCAAATGCCAAACACATATACATATATTCTTATTACTTTTTGTTTTAAACCGAGAAGACAAATTCGTTCAAAACTTTAATCAATAACCTACATTTGCTTGCTTTCAGAATTTATTTATATGCTCCATTTATATATCCATAAAACTTAACAATACGTACATTGCAGTATTTTTGTTAAATCTTTTCCGTACTACTATACCAGCAGCACAATGTACATGAACATGTTTCTTTCGGCCACACCTGTTTCCTGCCACTAGCTAATGCGTGTCGCATTGTCTTTGTTTTTGCCCCTCTTCCGTCGCTTTGTTAAACCCTGGTCGATTTATGAGTGATCTATTATGTTCCCTTGTGCAAGTGCACTCTGAACATGAGCTTGAATTCGATGTGGGAAACTAATCACTTCCCAGATCAAATAGTAAAACAATTGAAGCTCAGAACCCCATAATGTGTATTGTACAGTTTCTATACAGTCAATGTGAAATTACACAATAAAGAAACCTTACATGTGAAAATAGATTTTTCCAATACGCCACTGGGTAGATAATGTTTGTTTCTATTGCGTTTATATCTGCAGTTATGCATGACTTCTAGAGAACGTTACTAAGTACTACGATTTTAGTTTGAGTCTATGTACCAAGGCACAGTTTAAGAATCATATCTACGAACATATTCCAACCTCTACAATCTACTTTAACAATCTTGTATTTCCAATTTTGTAATGTAAAATGCTTCAAGTCATCCGCAAAATTTCCAAGTATGATGGCGTGTAGCCTAAATGCCGTTCGCCCACTTATGACCGTATTTAGCGTGTTTGGGCCCTGGTCAGTTAAAAAGACTGCTTTTGTAACAGCGATTTAATGTTTACTTATTAACAGCTAATTCATCATTTAAAGGTTCAGGAATTTAATTGGTCTCAGTACAATACGTATACGTATAGAGAGATTATTCACCTTGTCCGATTAATTATTTTTTATGTGATAGGACGTCA